TTTGGGAATTTTGTACAGAGCTTTTCAGACTGCAGGCTGCCTCTGTGGGCTTGTACTGCTCTAGAAGGATTTCAGCATGCTAAAAAGAGTCAACTGTTTCATTTAACATCAAATGGATTAACACCTCAACATACTTGTACTTACGGGTAAAATATGAGTTAATCTGTGCTGTATTTAATATGTATATATAATTGATAGCCTGGTATTAAACTAAATGCTGTACTTCAGAGTGGTTTTTTTTTTGTCTTCTGTTTTGCATACCTTTAAGGTATTTGGTTAAAAATGAGTTCTCATTATGCAAAATGACATGGTCTCAGGTTAAGCCCCAGACAGTTTTACATTCTGAAGGACATTTGTAAATTCTGTTAAAAAGATTGCTCAGAATATTTTTAGCTACAGTGTGCTGCTTGGCACTTGCAGTTTGTCCATTTCAGTTCAGGATATAATGACATGCAAAGAGACAGTCTGTCCTCATAGTCTTGATTCTGACTATATTTTTTAAAATTTTCTGTAAAGTAGATATTTTTTGAAATTCATTGCAGTGGCTCTAAATGAGGACCATAGAGGATGGAGGAAGGGGTAATTCTGTGGAAGTTGGACACAAGTTGGAGTGCTGACAGAGGGCTTGCCAGAGCTAACTTGAAATGAGCCTTTCCCATGCAAAGGCCGTTCAGAAACACGTCAGCATGTCTTGGATTCTGTGCTGTGGTGCCTGCATAGCTTCCTGGGCTTGGCTGTCATAGAGTGGCCTGGCTTGGAACAGACTTTAAAGACTATCCAGTTCCAATCCTCTGCCACGGCCAGGGACACCTTCCACTAGACCAGGTTGTTCAGAGCCCCATCCATCCTGGTTGTGAATACATCCAGGGATGGGGCATCCATGTCTCTGGGTAGCTGATTTAGATCTGGTTTGTTATATCTGTGCTATACAGAGGTTTGTAGTGTAGTAATATCCTAATCTTGATTAAGCATCCTTTTTTCCTGTGGAATTTGCAGTTGGCTGTACTTTTCTACCTCTTAATCGGATTGTATGCATACATGAACTGAATGAATAAGAAGCTTTCTGTTATTATTGTAAAGATGACAATAAGCATAGCAGATTTTTTTTCCTAATTACTTCACTAACTATTTTAAAGGGCTTTGTTCTTTCAATGGTTGATTAAAAAAAACTCTTGAGGTATTTGGTAGTGATCCGTGTGTTCATAGTGAAAATGCACCTACTATAAAACAAATGCTGCTATGCCACATGATTCTCTTGATATTGGACAAGTCCTTAAGGTAAATATCATTTTCAGAAATAACACAGCTTCCACAAGGGCATCCAATAGGAATCTTTTCAAATGGTAATGCTGGTTGTGCCTTTGGTTACCTTTCGATATATTCTGATGAACACTGGGTTGAATCTGTCTCTAAACACAAAACCAGTGGGATTGGCTTAAGAATGTCCTGAAGCTAGAAATGTTGGTGAAGGTTTCAGTATGTTGGCAGCCTCTGTTATATTTTTCTTACCGATAGAATAGTTGTATTCTATTGCTCTAAACAAGTCAAGGATTGCTCTAAAACAAGTCAAGGATTACCCTACCCCTCTGCTTTTTTTTCTCATATATTTGACCTCTCTTCTTGTACAGTCTTCTTCAGTGTTTCCATGTCTGTCTTGATTGCAAGGTGTAAAAGTCATGTGCAATAAAAAAGAAACACGCTTTAGGTGAGAAGGGTGGGGTTATTAGTATCAGGCATGTTAATGGATTATGTAGTGCTTGAAATGAAACCTAGGAAGCCTTCCAAGGAACTTGAAGCCAAATTCATATTGTTCGTGTGTATTTTCCCCTTGAAGCTATTTAATGTTTTAAAATATAGCTGTGCAGTGTTACATGTTCCTTTTTTCACTGTATCTGAAGAAAACCCCCACCTTTATTGTCTTCACTTCAATATTAAAAGTCACCCTGGAATTTTTTTCCCCGGATTTTGTTTATTTAGTCATTGAAAGTTTTCTATCCTGACCTGGGTAGGGCATAGGAGCACAGAGGAATTGTTAAGAGACAGGAATGGTAATAGCCAGATTGAAGTAGATGTGTCAGTAGAAAGCTCAGTGAAAAGCATAATTTTCTCCAGAAAATACTCCAAAAAGTGGTCCAGATGGAGAGAAAGAGTAGGTTTCTTCCTTAGCTTGTTGGGAAGTCTGCAGTATAGAGGGTGAGGGTGTTTGCAATGTGCAGTGGTACTTTGGGAGTGCTTTGTTGCCAGAGCTCTGATTCTCCACCCTGTGAGATGACAGCTGCCGTATTTTTATGTGGAAGTGCCAAGGCAGAGCTCTGCAGTCATGTGCAATGTGGTGCTTGTGCAGTAGGTTGTTGAACATAAATAATTTGTATGTACCCGGTCAGTCCAGTGCTCGCAGGAAGCGTGTGACTGATCCTACACAAAATAGATGTGCTGTAGGTGGATGTGCAGCATGTCCTCTGAGTGCCTTCCAGAAGTGTCAGACCAAGGCAGAGAGATTGATGGAATGTTCAGTGCTCTTGTGACAGCCCCTGCTCACCAAAATGCTTCGATGCACTGTGCGTGCCTGTTGCAGCTGATGGATGCGCACATGGTGCGGGTGTCTGGTTGTCCCGGGCTACAGCAGCTTTGGAGCTGAGCCCCAGGAGTTCTGGCAGAGCTACTGCTCTTCTGGAGATAAGAGGACAAGTAAAATCTGGGAAGCATGTTTGGGAGAACTTAGGCACATGGCAGCATTATGCAGAATCATCTTAGGTTGTGCGCAGCTGTAGGAAATGAGAAGCTAAAATGGAGCCTCTCGAGTTATGCTACTGTCCCTGGTGCTGTGTTTGCCTGTTTTTTGATGGTTAGGGGCCAGGAGAGAGGAAAGGCTGTTGGTGTAGGACAAAGCAAGGGCATTGGAGAACATCACCCAAAATTTCATAGGAAGCAGAGAATGAACTACAATCAGTAATTACCACAGCTGATGTATGTCTTCCTTCCCCTAATACTCCTTTATATTCAAAAAAGTGGATTCTAGGCTTGCAGACTTGGTAGCTGCTCTAAGTCCTTAGCTGCTTAGTCCTTCTTTTATGCTTCAGAACAAAGACCTCGTGTTTGAAAGGGGATTAAAACTTTACTGGTTCTTCCAATGTCCTTGAAATAGCATCTTTAGATTTTTTTTTAATTTTCTTTTCCCTAAAGCAGGCCTCAGTTAAAACCTGTTCCTTCTCTCCCAGCTCCCAGCAGAGAACAGTGCAGTGCAAAGGTCTGTGTGTGCAGTGGGTTATGTAAGTGTGACAGTAAACTTGGGCTGCTGTGGGAAGTGACGCTCTCTCCGGTCGTCCTGTAAGTGTTGGTTTCAGAGCTCCTGGCAGTGCGGTCACTCTTGGTGCGTGGGGCAGCACAACACAGCGAGCAGCTGGTTCTGGTCATGAGAGCAACAGCACACACACGGCAGGGTCTCTTTGAACATAGGTGTGCTTGTGTACCACTGCACTGTGTGTTTGTGAGTGCATTTTGGTGCTTACTGGTTGCAAGACTAATGAGGGAGGAGGGAGAAGGTGGCTCAACAGGAGCAGGCTGCTCAGAGCGCTCAAGAGCAACCCTGAAGCAAGGGTAGTGTTGTGATAAGGCACGAAATGATGACACAGACACTGCTGCTCTCGAGGGGAACAAAAAAGAAACACCTTTATTTTCTGACCCCAACATTTATAGTTTTCCAAAGGTGACAGTGGATTGGAGGGTGACAGTGCCACCTCTCCAATGCCACTGGACAAACCAAGGGTCCATCAATTCTCTCCACCTCCATGAAAGAATGCAAAACATAAGTTATTTACAGAACTGTGTGTGAGTAAGTTTGTTGAAAGAATGTAAACATCAGAAGGCTTAACAAAGTCTTACAAAATCAGGGCGACAGGGTAGAATGTTACAAGCTGGACTCAGTTTGCAGATGTGTTGTCTTGGACTGGTTGAGTGTTGTATACTTTATGTTGAATCAGTTGTTGGCTCTGGATGGTAGTTTTACAGTGATGATTCAGCATTAGTATTGTTTCTCCTTAAAAAGAAAACCAGTTTGCTTCCTGCCTCTTTGTTCAGAAATTCAGCTGTAATTGTCAATGATTGAAATTAGCAGTTTCTTAATGGATGTTTTGAGTGCACATAGGCATTGATTTAGAATTTCTGCTACAAACCTAAGTAATTTGCTAATTAGCACCTTAAAGGATCACCTTTAATGCTGCCTTCTGCATTTTTTTTACTAAAATTTCTTTTCTTTCACATCTTTTCTTCATCTTAGTCCTTCTTTATTCTCCAGCTGCTGGTCGTTTCCATCTGCCCCTTTGCTGGTTCTTTGTTCATTGCATGAATTGCTCTATTTATGCTTGGGAAGAAGAGGAAAGACCAATCTCCTCCACAGTCACTCTTTTCTTGATTTCCATTTCAACTTTCTCAATTTTTTTTTCAATTTCTTATTTTCACTCAGCAGCCCTCATTTCCGACCTTTAGTCTACTTCATTAGTTCCCCTGTGGTTGTGCTAATTGTCCTCTGTTGCTTTCCTGTGCTGGAGCAGGAGGCAAGAGGGATGCAATTAGCAGGGAGATGTCTCCTTGTAGGAGTCAAGGGAGAACCTTGCTGCTCACTGCAGTGCTGTAAGATCAGGTACAGAGATAGACTCTGCTTCAGCCAACCTGCAGCCACCACAGTGTTTAGTTACTCGTTGAAATGATAAATAGTCAATATATAGGATTATGTCAGTGTATTTCATTGCCATGAGTGTTGTTTGTTTGGCTGTGCTTTTTCTGCCTATTCTGATTCATAAACTTTTGAATGTGATATTTTCTATTGCTAAGACTAGCAGTTACCCGTAGCATTTAGTGCATATTGCTGCAAGGGTTAATAAAAACGGTCTTCCAGTTTTCTTTTAAAATATATTTACTTCTCTGTTTTGTCAGCTTGGCATGTCTGTCCACGTAAATAATGCTTAAAACATGTATTTATACATTTTTGTTTGCAATTCTAGGAATGCTTTAAAGGAAGCTGGGCCACTCACAAGTTATTACACAAGAAAGCAAGTAAGTACATTACTTTTTAAAATGCATTTTCATATTTCTTTGAATTTGTTTTGTCCTGTGCAGTGAGCTATAGGTAGTCTTGCTTGAGCTGGAGATTGGACCAGATGACCTCCAGATGTCCCTTCCAACCTCAACTGCTCTGTGCTTCTCTGCCTAGGAGTGGTAGTGGGGTTTTTTCCAAGATACCTTGCACTGGGTGATGCATATCTGAAATTTTGTCCAGTTCTCTAAGAATCTAAAGTGCTGTGTAAAATTTTAGAGGCAAAGGTTCACAGAAGTGTTTGTTTCTCTTCACTTTTCTATTTGCATGAATTACTGCTTGAGCTACATTGCCAGGTATATGAACACAGAAAGAGGGGTGCTGAAATAAAGGGCAAAGAGAATAATAAATCAGTATTGTATGGCAGTGTTCCTTCATAGCATTTTGATGTCTAATGCAGTCAAAGGCAGTACAGTGGGAAAGGTTCTTGCAAAGTCTTTGTGATTAGACACTTGCAGGAACAAGTGAGTCAGAGTGCAGCTGTTCTGTACATTTTTGGGAAAAAAGGGAGAATGCTTGTGTTCATGGTGCAGCCACTGAGGGAGGATGTATCATAGCTAGGATTTTGCTGAGTTCAGTTCAGGGTAGTAAGAGTATCTGTGTGCCCTAGTGACAGCTGGTAGCTCTGGTACAGAAATACTGTGAGATTGGTAGATTCTACCTTATCCTCAAATAATTTACCTCTTTTCCTAAAACCCAATAAGGCTTCTTTTTCTATGATAAATGTTGAATGGTAAATAGGTTGGAGTAGTACAGATAATTACAAATGTTTTCCTTCTTTCTGCCTTCCCAGTGTAGGGATCTAATAGTTCACACTTGCATTCTGCATCCTATTAATTTGTGTAAATATGAACAGCTTTGGACTTTTAAATTGTTACTTCTCAGTTTCATCTGAACTGAATGCCATTTGAGCAGATGGCTCATATGTCAGCCACAGAGGCTCTGAGGAATTGACATTAGGGCTTGCAATGGCAGAACTTTTGCTACCTCTTCATCCTTCTGAGATGTAAAAAGAGAAAACAAACAAGTTTTCCACTTATGAGTTAAAGATTAATGTTACTGTGCTCTTTCTTAACCCTTGCCTTCTCTTTCTGAGTAAGTACTTCTCCTTTTGGTATTGCTCAGGATCTGCATGTTTCAATCCTTGATGTAAACACCTTCAATTTGCCCTCACAGGAATGTGTTATTTGTGAATGAAGTCAGTCATTGGACCATGTCAGACATGAATTTCACAAGGTTCAGAGAGCTGGGAAGCTCCAGCAGTTTGGGACCATCTCCTAAGGTGTGAGCACTGCTTATCCTGAACTGCAGAAGTATCAGGACACTGCTGCAGAGTAGCACTCTCTCCATCAGCTCTGGAGGGGTAGCAGCCTCCTGTGTTGAGGCTGACAGTAGGATGGCCTCCCTTCCACCTTTGCATGGTCTCCTTCCCACCTCAGATCATTTTGGTCACTGGGTGCTAAAGGAGATCACAAGGACGTTCCCCTGCAGTGCAAGGGTGTTAATTGAAGGGATCCTGAGTGCCTCTGTAGAAACAGGCTTTTTTCCCAGGAATGAAAACAAGCGCTGTGTTATAAAACTACAAATGAAGAACAACTTAATTACTACACTTCCTTTGTGCATTCAGTCCTGACATTCCCCAGTTTGCTATTGAATAGGGTGGGAAGAATATGAATTTGGAATGGACAATACAAAATGATAATTGCTACTTACACTTTCATATATCAGTATCTGAAATTCCAGAAGGAGTCAGGTCTAGACTTACACACTTGTAAGTCACTTTCTAGCCCCCACAGTCCTCATTCTTAGTAGGACAGATTTTGCTGCTGCAACTTTTTTTCCCCCTTTTTCTTGTCTTTTCAGAAGATGAAAAAGCTAAGCGTGAAGTTTCCTCCTGGAGCCTGGAAGGCGATGTTAACACAAATCCCTGGTCTGGTTATCGATACACTGGGAAGCTCCGGCCACACTATCCGCTGGTAAGCAAGAGGTGCCACTCCACTCCAGCACTGCTACATTCTGTAGCAGCTAATGCACCACTCCTGACCTGATGACCTCCCACAGTTTTGCAGAGAGAAAAGAGCTTCTTGATCTGAACTCAGTGGCAAGGACATGCATGGCTGTCCTTATCGTGGTTCATTTTAGTTTGACTTGTTCTATCTTCTGGTATATTTATAATTAAGGGAGTGCCTGTGAGCATCAGTAACAGACTTATACCTTTGGATGTACACTGTGACATTTATTCTGCAAAAAAGCTACTGCTAGTTCAGATGCTGTCTCCCTGCTGTTTTTTGTCCTCACCCATTATGGAGCAGTCTGTTTCTAAATGTTCAGGTGAATTCATTTAGAATTTAAATAAATTATTTTATATTATATTATGTAAATGGTTTAAAATAACCTGGTGAGTGAACTGGTGAATAGCTGAAAGAACAGAGGTTACAGTATCTCGTGCACTGGAATGGTGAAGAACAGCAGAGGTCAGTAAGATCTTTGGTTGTGAAAGGTGGGTTTAGAAGATGATGATATATAACTCTGTGTGTGTATATATATATATATATATATATACACACACACAGACATACAGACATAGATGTATTTTTAAATTGGTACATGTTTGTACATGGAGTAAGCTGAAGCTTTTTTTTACAGCAGTAATGGCATTTTCTTTACATTTGTCTTTTCTAATTGGCCTGTGCTAGAAAAGCTGCCCCAGTGGCATCCTCTCTCTAAGTCTTGTCCATGTTACAGGCTCACTAGAGAACAGATTAGCTGAGCCTGAGCCCATGTGTGTTTGTTAGTGTTGTTGGAGAAAAAGGTGTTTGAGACATTTCACCGGCTAAGTAATTAGTTGTGTAACCTCTGAACATTGTTTTTTTTGTCTTGTGACTGCTGGGAGACTGATGGAAATTAAATTAGAGATTTTGACTAAGGTGGTGATTAGAAGTAGCAGTCTTGCTAAAGACAAGAGGGATGTATTTGGAACCAGTGCACTTGCAGTCTGGAAAGCAGCAGAAAAAAAATGCTCCAATAAGGCATAATACATTGTAAAACCAGTTTGATTCACTTGACAATAAAAATTTGATTTTTACAAAGCTGTACAGTTGGCTATTAAAAGTTGTATAATATGATTGCAATAGAGGGTAACAGCAGAGTGTCTGGGATTGAAACTTGGAACTTTCGGAGTGTTTACATACTTTGCAACTTTTTCTAAATGGACTTGGCCATATTTCACATGAAATATTTAATATTCTATTTAATTTTGCTGTGTGACTGTTTTTGTGACTGTAATAAGTGGTGTTGCAACTTAACCAGTTTTGCCTGTGATTTATTTAGACGCCCACAAGACCTGTGCCAAGTTATATTCAGAGACCGGATTATGCTGATCACCCACTAGGTAACATGAAAAAAATCACAATTATGAGTGTTATGCATGCTCTCTATTTTCCTTTCCATTGAAAAAGTATGAAGGAGATACTGGAGAAGGGAACCTCTTTTATCTGTTCTCACTTTACTACTTCTCCACAGTAACTTACATATTTTTAAAAAAATCACAGTTGCAAATATTTTTTGGGAGTCCAAAGTTTGTAATGGGTTGTCTTTCGAAGGTGTACAGGAAATTAAGAGTGAGTTTATTTGGTTTGGTTTTTTTTTTTTAATCTCAAACATACAAGTCCTAGTTCTGTTGCTAATTTGATAACAAACAGCAATGAGTTGACTGTTGCAGATGAATTCTACCAAACCATTTTCTATGGCATCAGTGTATCTGTTGAAAATGTATTATTTTATAACAAAACCAAGAAAACCTTGCAGTATGCAACCCCCAAAAGAAAACTGGGGTATGAGTTCCAGCTGTTTTTGGACAGAGAGGGAATGCATTCAAAATTACTTTTGATATTTTCCTCTTTTTATACCAGTATTGGGGCTTTGCATTTCCCCAAAAGGCTGCTATAAAGTCTGTTAGCATTATTTTTTAATCTTAAGATATTCCGTAGTTATTTTTTAAAGAGTGTAAATATTAAAACAACACAAAATACTGGATTTTATGGGGTTGCTCATCTTTAAAGCTGAGATTGCACAGAATTTGGTAGGAAGAATTTATGTGTTTTTGTCAGCTGATTATTGCAGTAGTATAACCAGATCTATTCCCAAGCTCATGTAACCCTTTATGAATGTAATTCTCACGAAGTATTTTCTAAGAGCAGCTGAAAAATGCTTCTCTATGAATAAAACAACTTCCTTGTCAACCTGGTATTTAAGGCTGTGTTTTGACTAACTGGACATGATGGTTTTATGCAGTAAATGAATGGGCTTCCTGAGCACATGGGGCATTATGGTATTGTGGAAGGCTTATGAATTCCAATAAATCTGAATAATGATAATAGTACTGTGGCTTGGTGGGTTTCTTTCTTTAGGCTGTGGTGAGAAAGTCTGTACTTCTATTGCCCTTGATAAGCTAAGGAAATTCCTGGATTGGATATGTGTAGTGATCATCATTCTATATAACATGGGTTTTTTCTTTGTTTTTTTTAATACTCTCCCTTTTTTCTTTTCAGGAATGTCTGAATCAGAACAAGCTTTAAAAGGAACCTCTCAAATAAAAATACTGTCATCTGAGGATATAGAAGGGATGCGAGTAGTGTGTAGGGTAAGGGGCTTTTGATTTTTCTTGCAAGGTGCCTTTATAGTCTTTAAAAAAAAACTATAGTGATTTTACCACTTTGTCATACCACATTTGAGAGTACAAACTTTCAAACCACTTTAGAGCACTGAAAAATAGTTTGGGAAGCGTTATATCTTCTGGCTTTTTCTCTTCTTGTGACCCCAATGCCCAGTAAAGTATTTTACAAGCAGAAGTATGACTTTTATCTGTTTCCTGCATTTGTTATTAGTAGTAAGACAATCTGTGCCTGACATGTTGTTTCTGTTAAGAATATGTTTTATAGTGCAGAAATGAGAACTTTTTCCTCTCCTGGAGTTGGTACTAAGTAAAAACTAAAAAGCAAAACAAAGCCCTAAACAACTTTTGAAAAAAAGCTGTTCAATTGTAATCACTTCCTTGTGCATAGAGTCAAACTTTGAAATGCATTTAGGTAGTCTGATTTAAGATGATGGCATTCAAGGAAAATGTGGTCCAAACCTTAACTGGAGTATTCTCAGCCCTCACAGAGGTGGCTGACTACATGACCTGGAGGCATCTCAGTCTTTCTAGAGCCCAACTCCGCTTTTCTGGTGATCTCAGTGTAGCTGTCAAAAAAATGTAGAGAGTAGAAATCTTGTAGAGAGTAGTCCTGGCCTATTTTAAATCAACTTAAATTAAGTCAATAGATCAATTTTAAATCTGTTTTAAATTGCTTCATTTGCAGCTTGCTAGAGAAGTATTGGATGTTGCTGCCATGATGGTGAAACCAGGAGTAACTACTGAAGAAATTGATCATGCTGTCCATTTAGTAAGATCAGTTTATTATTCTTCTGATGTTTATAAGTGTTTTATTCTATCTCTTTATTTTTAAATTATTATTGTGTGGTTTTCTTGGTTTTCTTTGTTGCATGAATTCCATTTCTTTGTGTCAAACTGTTTCCCACTTTGAAACTGGTGGGTAGTGCAGATGGCAGAAATGTGCTACAATGCAATGGTAGGTTCAAAGTGATTTAGGAACTCCTGGGCCTCTCTGTATCAGTTGCTTCCATATTTCTGGCTTCAGATTTTTTCTAAGTTTCTTCTTTTGCTTTCTCACTTTTCTTTCTTCTAAACCCTTTTTGCTCCACAGATACCATTATATAAAGAACAACATTTGTAGGCCATGGACTTCTTGTACTCTGTGGTTGGCTAGGACATGTAGAGGAGAAACAAATTATTTATGATTGGGAATCAGAACTGAGGTGCCTCAGAGGGAACTGAAACAAGATGTTTGATGCAGTCTGACAAAATAAAGCTGCAGTCCAGTGAAGTGTTTAAAAAACCTGTTCAAGAATGCTTCCTGCCTTAACTTTCCATAGATATTGTGTAATTTTTTTGCTTTGCTGTCTTCTCTATGAATCATGTAATCTGGTACTTGAGGCTGCATCTGTGCATTGTGGGAAAGGAAACAGTTTTGGTATAGTTAAGTTTGTTAGAGAGCTTTCTTTTTATCTGCATCTGCAGCTGTTGAACCAAGATTGTCTGCTTTCTGGAGACTTCTGTTGAACTGCACTGAACAGTTCAAAACTGTTAAACTACTACATTAAACACCAAACTACTTGCTTAGGCATAATGTGTAGTATGAACAACTAGTAGGTAACATGGAGTTACCCCTCCTCAAGAGTTCATGGAAACTTTGGCAAGTTGTTGATACTGACTGATACCCCTAATTGATATCTTGCAGTTTCAAAAACAGTATTATTTTTTGAAAAATAATAAAATGAAATATATTATATAATATAATAGATCTAATATATTATATAATATTAATAATATATAATAATACTATATAATATAAAATAATTTAAAAGGTAACACAATAGGTTTTTTCTGGTACTTTGCTCAGTATGTCACAAAGTATGTGTATGTCTGTATGTGTAAGTATATATGAAATGTGTCAGTTTTGCAAAAATACAGAAAGGTTATTGCATTTCAAGGGAAGCAGCTTAAGGTTTTAATGCTGGGGGGAAAATAGTGCTAAATATTATTTTGTTTAGCTTGTGTGTCTTGCAGAAATCTTGGACTGGGCTCTTAAAAGTGGTAATTGAAAATGACTTTTAAGACTGAGTAAATATTGCCATGTATTGTTTCAAACCTGAATATCTCAGCATTCACAGTCAAACATGAAAATGAGTAGAAACAAAATTAAAGTAGCTTTAATTTCTTCCTGGTAAAAAATGCAAGATGTAACAAAAACATTGCCAAGAAATGATGAAGAATCCTGTTTTTTGGAGTCACTGCTTTTCAGCCTGTCATTCTTATGTACAGCTGTTGCACATATGTTTTTTATGGTGTTTTTTCTTTGTACAAAACTTACCAGTGTAAATTGTATTTTCTCTATTTAGGCTTGTATTGCAAGGAATTGTTATCCTTCCCCTTTGAATTATTATAATTTCCCCAAGTCGTGTTGTACATCAGTGAATGAAGTGATCTGTCATGGAATTCCTGACAGGAGGCCATTGCAGGAGGGAGATATTGTTAATGGTAAGTGCTGTGAAAATTAACCTTCAGCATTTTTACTTTGTGTGCACTTAAACCATGCAGTAAGGTGAGGTTTCAGAAGCAGGCAACATCATTAGAATAGCTTCTTAAGAGGGGCTTTTGTTCTTATTGACCAGTTAGCTTGTTCTCATTTACCTCTGCTCTTTACATACTTTAATTAATGTATTTCTTTAATAAAATAATTTCAAAAGTTCAGTCCACTTTAAGAGCTTTATAGTTCTTCTACTCTGATCTGTGCATTAGTATAGTGCCTGAGTATTCCACTCGTGGGCTAGATTCCACTTGTTCCAGACTGTGTATATATAGTGAATAGAGTGTATATTGAATTATTCAACTGGATTAGTTCCGTGTGAATTCTTGATTAGATGGCTCTAGATTCTTACAATTTTGCTATTGTAAGAATTGTACAATTTGCACACAGCTCAGTGCTGTGGGTACCAGCCTTTTCAGTACAAGTCTCTGCTGCCCCATTTAGGTAGGGTGTGGTCTGGTTGAAAGCTCTGAACTTGTAGGGTACATGTAACAATGTATGCCAAAGCTTCTTTATCTTGCTTTAATTTCAAAGATGATGCCTTTGTGCAGCTCTTTATTGTTGCCAGCTCTTCTGGCATTGCTGGAGTCCAGCCTAATCATAGAATCATGGTTTGGGTTGAAAGGGACCTTAAAGATCATTTGGCTTCAACCCTTGTGCTGTCTCAGGGATGCTTTCAGTATAAACTGGGTTGCTCAAAGCCCCATCCAGCCTGACCTGGAACATTTCCAGGGATGGAGCATCTACAATTTCTCTGGGCAACCTGTTCCAGTGCTTCACTACTCTCACTGAAAGAATTTTCGTTTAGTATCTAATCTAAACCTACTGTCTTTCAGTTTGAATTCATTCCTCCTTGTCCTGTCCCTACATGCTCTTGTAAAAGTTACTCTCCATCTTTCTTCTTGGCTCCCTTCAGGTGCTGGAAAAGCCACAAATTAAGTCACCCCAAAGCCTTTTCCAGGCTGAACAATCTGAATTCTCTCAGCTTTTTCTAATTCAAGAGGTACTCCAGCCTTCTAATCAACATGGTTGCCTTCATCTACACGGTGCCTTCCCTCTCTGCTATTTGCATGCAAAGGCTGTACCTCACCCTAGAGAACACTTCTGGAAGAGGCTTTGGTCATACCTTTGTCCACATTCCTGCACTTGATCGAGCTTGGAGCCTTCTGCTTTGTTGTGATGAGAAAGAACTGGGCTTCTTTCTGTAAAGTAGAAGCTCAAAAGCCTCTTGAAAAGGAAGACGAAAACAGTTTACAAGGAGGGATAGAAAAGGTACCTTGGAGGGCATGTACCCAATGAACGACTAAAAGGAATTGTCCATTTTTTATTTTGTTTAAAACTTTTTAGCCTGGAAGCCATGCCAAAGTCCAAAACAGTTTTTTTTTTAATCACAGGAACATGTAATCCAGAGGGTACTAGCAAGGGATGTCTAGTTGTTGACACCAAAGTCTGTTTTCCCACATCTTCCTATCAAGATCGTATTGGTCTCTCTCAGCAGCTCATGTATGATATTCCTAAAGCATTATTGATCACTACAGTTCCCTTCATGACTGTTTACCTGTGAGAGGATTTGGGTGTGGGTTTCTTCATGAATAGAAGAGCAATAACTTTTCTAGAGGGTTTGGTGATCTAGCAGATATTAGACCTACCAGATGACCAACAAAGACTTAGAATCAAGAGTTCCCGTTCTGACATAGCAAGACAACTTGATATGCAAAACAATGATTACATATCTTTTAAAATTTAATTTCTCCCTAAAAGTGCTGGAATTAATTCTAAGAAAGTACTGCAACCAGGTAAATCCCCATAGAGCAAAGAGCTTCTCTTTCCCATTTTTATATTTAAAAAACCAGTGCTAGCTTGCTGTGTTGCGTTGTTGGGGGATGTTTTTCCTCCCCCTCCTCCTTTTATTTCATTAAATCAAACTGCTCACCAGTTCAACAGTGACTTATAAATTATTATATAGAATCTATAGGATAAGCTGGAAGAGTTTTCTTCGGGAATTCTTGTGAAGTAGTCACTTCACAATTGGAATCCCCCATTTGTACGTGTTCTCTGACCAGTGGAGCGGCAGCAGGTGAGGAGCAGAGCGCTAATTTCCCTGTCTGCTGTTGTTTGCAGTGGATATCACTGTCTATCGCAATGGCTACCACGGAGATCTGAACGAGACCTTCTATGTCGGGGAGGTGGACGAGGGAGCCAGGAGGCTTGTCCAGACAACCTATGAGTGCCTAATGCAAGCCATCGATGCAGGTGAGTCTCGCCTGCAGCGTGAAGCCTTTGGTTCTCAAACGTGTTCGTTCCTATTGCCGCTGCTCGGGGTGACTTCTGGCGCAGCACGCAGAAGCACTGGTGTGTTGTCACCAGCTGATGATGGGTGCTGTGTAATGCAGTGATGCTTCTGTGAGTGGTGGCTGCAACTTCTTTTTAAATGTGGGCTGATGAGGAAAATGGATTTGATGCTGAGCCGATCTGTGGATTATATTGACATGGAAACATCCTTTTTTTTACCGTTGATGAGTAAGACATCCTTGATCTGAGTAACTTAAGAGAATGCAACAAGTAAATTATGTTTTGGAAATCCCTACTTTTATAATTTGTATGGTGTTGCACAGTGAACTGGTAAGGTAAAACACTGTGTGAGCACCTAAACATGTCTCTTCAGCCCTGCCAAACCTGATGGTTATTTCGTAAAGCTAGTTATGAGCTCTTGATTTTCTTTGGGAGTGTGCCAGAGAAGACAGATCCATATCTTCCAGTACCTAGAGAACTTTAATTATCTTGCTTAGTTAACAGTCAGGGCAGCTGCATCAAGATATATGATGAGATAGAAAGGTAGCTGCATGTTTAACTTCAGAAAACAAAAGTATTTCTTAAGTCCCTGGAAGTACTTGTACCATCTGTATCTTTTATACCCTGCAGCTTCTTAAATTCCCCATTATAATTTAATCACTGCTTGGCACTCTAAAGTGTTATATATAGTAAGTTTAAAGCATATATATATATATATTAATTTATGAAATTTAATGAAAAGTAAATGTAAATGAAAGAAATTAAAATGAACACAATTTGGGTTAATAATTTGGAGATAACTAGTGCAGCTGAAAAGACAAAAATCCATAAGATTGATGTCTTGTGTATCTGTTGTGTGATCGAGAAAATACTGCCAGGTTGAGCTGTGAAGAATAGAGATTTCTTGGTTATGTGGGATTGCTGTTCTGAAATGACCCCTTTGTTTTTCAGAGCTAAACCAGAACAGTGTGTATCTTTGGTCCTCTACTTTTTTATAGCACATGTTACATGTGTTGTCTCTTATCCTTTGTATCCTGGCTTTGATGTAGAAACTGTGACAGAAATTTCCCTGTGTTCATTACAATAAGATTAGAATTCTCACTTTAATAAGATTAGAATTGGTTTTTTACCAATTTTTAGATGCTGTAATGTGTTTTAAAGGGTTTTAGACATTGCATGTGAGTAGGAATTCTGGCAGCAAGTGTCTCAGCTGTTAAAAGGGGGTCACCTCTCCCCTCTTTAAATCCTCTTAATGTCATGTTGTTGGACCAGCAGAGCTCTAGCTGGGAGAGCTGTATGAGAGAGAAGCAGAGAGCTCCTTGCTTCATTGAAATGAGTCGCACGTGCTGTCAGGCCCATACTTCACAGCTATTTAGCACAAACATAACAGATTAATCTCTTCCCCACCATGTCCTTTTTAATTTTTGGAGAAGCATGTATATTCCAGTAGTATAAGTTTTTTGTTATTTTCTGTAAATTCAGCTTCGGGGTTTCAGTTGTAGTCACTTATATTAACAGAGAATTGAACTAAATGGTTGCTTCACATAAAGCTTTAGCTTTATGTGAACTCTGCTTAAGATGCCTCCACAAACCACACATCTGGCTCCTGAAGGAACAGCATGTATTCAGGGAGTTGGGAATAGTCTTGGAAAAGCTTGATATTTTGTTTTAAGGAACTCAAGGTTGTTTTTGGGATGAATGTTCATTAGCTGAATGATGAAACATTGTTGCTTTTATCATGTTATTACTCCCTTGTCCCAAGTGCTCAAAGTGAATTTCTCACAGCATTTTCATGTGTTTCAAACTCTCTAACTTGGTAGGCTTCCTAAAGGGATTGTCAAAAAAGTTAAACCTGAATATGAACATTCTTATTTGCTGAATCTTGTCTAAGACTAGAGATACCCATTTTCCTTTATTTTTTTAAATATCAGTCCTTTGTGTGCATTTTTCACATAGTAGAGGGATAAGTGTATATTAAAATATAGTTCCTACATTAATTGCAAAAAGCACTGCATCCCAGGGTGCATCTCAGGGTGTGAGAACTCACCAAGTACTTTGAAAATTGTTTACTTTTAATTTCAAACTTTAGCATCCTTCTAATGTGAGCAGTTGCATCCATGAAAGGAAAAAAGTAGTATTCTTGTGAAAAAGGCATTTTCTTCTGTCTCTCTTGTGGTTTTTTTTTTGTTTTTTTTTTTTTTAATATGAGATAGTTTCCTCCCTCTCTCAAGTATTGCACTCACAAACATACACTCAGTGGATTAAGTGATCATAGGAAGTTGCATACTGGAACAGATGGACACTCAAGCCATGAGTGTTGCAGAGATGGTGTTTGATGGTTAGTTATGTTGAAGGAAAGCTCTCTAAATTCCTTTCTGTATCTCATTAATTTTGCAGTAAAACCTGGTGTTCGGTACAGAGAACTGGGGAACATAATTCAGAAACACGCTCAAGCAAATGGATTTTCAGTGGTTCGGAGCTACTGCGGGCATGGAATCCACAAACTTTTCCATACAGCTCCCAATGTGCCCCATTATGCCAGTGAGTATTCATTCCCTTTGTGCTATCCTGTACACAAGTGAATTGCAGTCAGTGCACCCAATTTACTTGAGCCATCAAGTGGGCATTTTGGCACTTGAGAAATAATATTTTTTTAACTCTGGCCTGTAGCATACTTTATGAACCTGTGCTTGCATTATCTGCCTGCACTCGTGGTTAGTCTTAGCTCTCGTCAGTACTGGGTAAGTGCTCAAAGATTTTGCCTGAATTCCCAGCTGAGTTCCCTTAGACATTCTTGTCTGACATGAACTGCCAGATGTTTCTCTCCTTAGAAGTTCTATGCCAAACCTTACTGTCATTTACAGATGCAAATAAAAAGCTCTTTGAATAGTATAGATGAGTGTTGTGCCTGAATATGAATCCTGTTTATTTCACTTTTCTTCATTTGAGTGTTGTGATTAGGTATTTCTGGAAACTTCATCCTAGTGTGTGGCAGAGGAGGAATGAACATTCCCCCAGTAGTGGTAGGTTTTGGAAATGTCCATGGTGGCCATAACAGTTTTTCCAGCAAAACTAAGAAACAGAGGTAGAAGATGAAATTTTAAGTGCCAGTGGACAACTAAGGGCAGAGTAAACATTGTGGAGCATTGATGCTTCTCACTTCACACTCACTTCAGCTGTAAAGCTGCCCTGATACAGGACACTTATTTCCTCAGACCTGACAGGTGCCTTCATCTTCCCATCTCCTAATGAGCTTTAACACATGTTATGGTTATAGAATATAGTCTAGCAATTCCTGACTTTCCATGCCATCATTTCCCCAAGTTATTTTTTCTGACAACAGAGAAAATCTGTTAATTGCAGGGTAAAAGGGTATCAATTCCTGGTATGTACATTTTGTTGTGTAAAATGAAGAAAATACGGGTTCTTTGGCAGTGGAAAGCTTTTTATACCCATTAAAATCCAATCCAAGACAAAGGAAATTTCTATCTTTCCTGGCTATTTGGAACCTTGAAATTTTTTTTTATTAGGCAAATATGTCTGTTCCCAGAAGGAAAGATGCTGGGTCTTTTACCTGGTATTTTTAAATAAGAGTCACAGCAAAAGCTAAGTGGAGAGATTTGAGGGACTTAAAGCCTCTTGGAGAAAAAAGAATGCTGCTGCTTATTTCTAGTCTACTATGAAAGGAGTTTGAAAAGCAAAAAGATAATTTTCTAAGAAAAATGTTCTGTTGCTGTTGTGGCAGCTTGATGTCTGAGATTTTTAAAGCCTCTAGGTGATTTAGGCAGTGTAATAAATTAACACAATTAAGGTTAGATAGGGGGATGTAAAATGAATGCAAATTGTCTACAGCAGCAAAGTAGCTTGGAGCTAATGGCTCCTGTGCAGTTCTGGAGTTTGTTCCAGCTCTCAGGCTCAGTTACATCTGAGCTGCACTGTCTGTCCTTCCATGTGAAACAGAACAGAGGAAATGGGCTGTAGCCTTTCTCCAGTCAAACTGCACTCCTGGAGTCATGCTGTCCCTCAGTTCATGTGCCTCCACATAAGCATTTTTGGTGCATTTAACATCAAATAATTCCTGTGTTATTGTCCTGGATGGCTCAAAATGCTCTGCTATTTTATGTTAGCTAATGAACACAGCATTATCACTGACACTGCTATGACCCCATTATCCAGGTAATAAGGAGGCAGTGTGTCTTTCATTAATGGAGTCATGGGATTACTTAACCATTGTCACATTCTGACAATTTATTGGAGCTAATGGCTCAGTGCAAACAAATAAGATTCCAAGCCTTCTCTGAATATCTTAAGTGCTTCTTACTTCTGTTTTTTAATTATGATTTTCCATTATAGAAGTGTGCAGAAATTCCTGTATTATATTTTTTCAGTGTTTTATAGAACTAGAGTTGAAATTCCAGTTGTTGGAGAGAAAGACAGCAATTAATTTTAAGCTGTTTGAGTAAGTATTACAGTGTTGGTGGATGGGGAGAAGGAAAGAGCTAAGGGAAATCTTTATGTGTACATAAAAGGGAGAAGTGAACAGCTCATCTCAGAAGGGCTTCTTTGACTGTACTGTGTTTCTGTTGTATTCTGTCAGGACAAGGATTCGGTCATTTACTAAGATGGTATTCTTTTTCTAACTTGAGTGTTTATTTTATTGCAGAAAACAAGGCAGTTGGAGTCATGAAGCCAGGTCATGTATTTACAATTGAGCCAATGATCTGTGAAGGTGAGCAGTTTCGCACTAGAGTAAAAATGGTTACTCTCGTTTGCTCCTAAGCAGGGATGGAACAGGATGCTGGTTCTGTCCTGTGGAGCTGATAGATTTTTCATTTCTCTTTGGGGGACTGATAGCTGTTATTTAAAAGCTGGCAAGAAGGGATGCTTTCTGTTTCCAGGTGGCTGGCAGGACGAGACCTGGCCCGACGGTTGGACTGCGGTGACGAGGGACGGGAAGCGCTCGGCGCAGTTTGAACACACGCTGCTGGTCACAGACACGGGCTGCGAGATCCTGACCCGCCGCCTGGACAGCACTCGCCCCCACTTCATGACCCAGTGATAGTCCACACTGAGCAGGTGCATCAGAACAAGAAATATATATCTATTTTTTGCCCCTGTACTATGCATTTTTTTAAGAGTACAGAATAGAAAGATTTTGTTTGTTCTTGGTGATTGTAGATAAGAGGAATATCTCGAAGAACCTGACCCAATGTCTGCAAAAGCAGAGAAGAATTTAAAGAATTTCCTGCTTTCCTCCTACCTACAACACTCACGCTGTACTTTCCTTTTTTCTTCAATTATCTCTTTAGCACCTTTCTTCCAATTAGACCCACAATTGCTTCTGTTGCTGCCATGATATTAGCTAGAAAAGCGTGGGTAAGCTTTCCCACTGGGACTTGATATTTTGGGATCCAGGTTTTTTTCACCATTTCAGTGTGACCTGTCACTTTTGGTTTGTGAGAGGCACCTGAGATTTTAAGCATTTCTTATTCCAAAGACTTGCTCTTACTTCTGCAGATTCTATTTTGGGCCTTGTTTGTTTCAGCTTAGAAGGGGGCAGAAGGGAGAAAGACACGCACGTACAAGAACGGGCTACCTTTAATTCTGCCCCCATCTCTCTGCTGGTGGTGATTGCCACTGCGGGTGGCACACTGTGCTAATGGCAGGATTTGTTTCTCTTGCTGGAGATTTGACAGGATGGGAAGTTAACAAAGTCTGTCTTATATGCAACTGCCTGGAATAAGCTGCTTTTTGGCAAAGCAGTACTTGCAGGCAGCCTCCTGTACCAAAAGCTTGGTGAAGCTGATGTATCAGACTTGCCTAGGTAAAGGAATGCAACAAGAACCAAAAAGATCCCATGATTCATGGGATCCCTACGTCTGTTAACTGTGGGGCATTTTTAAAAAGTACATCCACAGTAGCTGTGGGGGATTGGATTTGCAAGACTTACAGTGAAGTATCTCAAAACAAGTCTGAGTGTGTGAAAATGAAACACGTTCAACACTGTATTCATTTTCTTTTGGTAATTTTTAAACGGGTCATTTTCTTCCCCCTTGGTTGAGTGAGTTTCAGGCTTTTGGGAAGTCTTAGGGGGGCAGCTATGAAAACTAATCTTTTTTCCTCAGACAGGGTATAGAGTGGGCAAAGTTGGTATATATACCCCTTTATATTTTGTTAGTGGGTCATGGCAAGCTGAAAATGGTTACGTTAAAGAGTGTGGATTGATTAAGCCTCTTTTTTCTCTACCCTTTTTTTTACCAAGGCCATTTCCCTTCCATCATCTTTAGTGTCTATGCTGAGGGAATTAATTTTTTCTTCTGAATTGTAATGAAACATTTTTCAGACCCCATTGTAGACTTCATCTTACACCACTGTTAACACAAGCCAACACAGACATTAAAAATCATACAATCATGGGCGTAAAATACACCTCTTACAAAATGTCTGGTGAATTTGTTGCCACAGATCCAAGAATAAGAAGTGCTGCATACCCTTGGCTCCCCTTGGCACTGCAGAATTTAGATGGGGGAAAGGGGTTAGTGCTTCACAGAACTGGACTCGTCTACTTCCAAATTTGCCAGAAAACGTCTTCTCTGCCCTGAGTGCCTCAGACCTCTGTTGCTGTATCACTGCAATGTTTTCATTACTTTATTCTTGTTTTAATTATGCAGTAAAGTGACCTGAAGCGATGCACAGAGAGCGCGTGTGCGTGCGTATGCGTGTATGTGTAGAGATTTTTAACAAAACAGCCTGTAGTACTTGAGTGGGGTTACCTGTGCTGAATGAGCTGTGTTGAGGAGATGCCTGTCCTGGAGGTTTGCCCACCATTATCCTTCACTTGAATGGTTACAATGGTCTTGCCTTTTCTATGTGTGTGTGTATGATGCGGGGGGTGGGGGCCTTCATTTTTGGTCTATGAAATAAAAGTTGCAGCTGCTTTTAACAGAAATAACTTTTTTTTTTGTCTTGTAATCCAAACCCAGACATAGAATTATCAATTACACCCAGGTTTGCTTGCAGTAGTGCAAGCCCCACTGGTAGATGCATGCACCCAGATAGAACTCAACCCACACATGTGCCACGTGGATACCTCTTTGTTGTTGCACTGATACAACCAAATTTATACATTTTTAATGCAGGTAATCTGTGACACTATGCATTTCTGCCTGTAAATTGAAATCACAGCGTGGTAACTGCTTGTAGTGAGTTCATACTAGTGCAGTATTTTTAAATGAGTGGAAAGCTTAGCTGGCATCTTCACCAGATCTTGCAACGTAAGAGGGCACATCAGCCTTGAGAACAAAATTTATTAAATAAAAATATTAAGGAAAACTATTTTTTCACCTCTTTAGCTGTGTCTGCTTGAACATGACATACCAGACTTGTGCTGACTGGATTGTGGAAATTAACTATTTTTATTCTTACCTAAGTTGCTATCCACTTAAAAGATCCTAAGTTAAATCTACTTTTTAATTACATTTTTAGCAATTGTATGCACTTTTACCAAAAACACAATCCTGAAGTTAGTTCTGAATCAATCTCTAATGTATTTTGTATTTTCCCTGTACTGTTGTAAAGGGAAAACACATTAAAATGACTTACTTTGCTGTAAGTCAGTGTGGAAATTCTTCATGCTGTTTCTGCAACTTGACTTGAATATTTAAGGAGAGAAGTTTTGGTAGATGGTGTTGAGTAACAGCAGGAGGGGAGTGGCCAGCCTGCATGGTTTGCATGGCAGCCAGCAGAGGACATGCACCTTTCATTCACAGTGGATGTGCAGTTCAATACAGTACCTTGATCACCAAAAATGGGGCAGAAGCTCTTGGCTTTGAGTCCCTTGGTTTGCTGAACAACTTCAAAAAAAACCCTATTTCAAACATGCTCCATTCAATCAAAAGCTTTGCAGGATGAAGTAATGGCTGGGACATCAACTCCTCAGGCTGGGAAGAAGCTGCAAGTCTTTGACCCAAGCACTCTGGTATCACTACACTTCTTCGTTGTTGGTATTACAGCCTGGCTTCCCACAAACACTCTGAGGTGCAGATTCTCTGAAGTAATAATGTAATGCAGACGAGATTGTGTGTTCTTGATTTAGTCTGTGCAGCATAGAGGAACAGTTGTTCCAGTGTAAGTATGTTATGTGTGTTAGATCCAGCTAAGGGGTGGTTTGCCAGGTTAGCTAGCATTGTATTGATACCATCTTCTAATTAGGGAGTATTCTCACTGGAATAACTTAATAGCAAGTTTTCTACTGCATTTTCTGATGTTCAGCCAGCCTTCCTGGAGCTACAAGGTACTGAGAGTCATCTCATTGCTGGGCTAAAGGGCTCAGTTTTGTTACCAATTCAGTTTTTATTTCCTCCTGATGCTCAAAATTGAGTTCTTGTGACATTCACATTCATTCTTTACTGTCTGAAATGAAGTAGAAATGCATACCTCAACTATTTTCAGAATGCTGTAGGGGATATTTTTTAATGAGAGATGGAAAAGATGTAATTGTCCCAGTTGTATAGCAATGGCTTGGAGTAATTGGTGGTGGTGAGAGGGAGTAAGATTACTGTTTGCATTCTGTGTTTCTGCTAGAAGTTGTTTTGACCAGGGTTCTTTAAAACATGAAACTTCTCACTTAATCAGTGTCCTTGATTCACTGAAAAACACTGAGTTTCTATGTAGCTAACTTTTAATTGGCTGGGCTGTCTCTGCTTTGCAGTCTGTTTTTGCTATTTATGTTTTTCTGGATGTGAGGCACTGATTGCAGGTTTCAATACAAAAAGAACTTTATCCAGACAGCTCACTTCACCTAGAGTTAAGAAAACCTGCAACTCCAAAACTGAGACTTAACCCCTCCTCCTCCCACAAAAAAAATCCCAGAAAACCCTGAAGCCATCTTCATGCAATGCTCTCTCCTGTTCCCCTGCAGCCCTCAAGAGCAGACTTGCTCTAATAGTAGTATTTCCTGCTTCAGTGGCATGATCAGGTTTCTGACTAGACGTGACAATCCCATGCTGTTTGTTTTTGCAGTGTTGGCTGCAAAGTTTGCTTCATTTGTCAGTAAGTTAAGGAAATGGGACAACTGTCCTACTGAAGCCTTGGAGGACACTACTAGAGCAAGTGACCAGAACAGTTTGTGCCATGATCTTTACAAGAGGCTGCCAAAGAGACCAGTGAGAAATAAGGCAGAACACGGAACACCCCAGTGAACATGGGTACCTCTGGACAACAAAGTCTCTGCTCCACATGTGGCTTCAAGGTTGAGCTGGATGCTACAATCCACTGTAGTCCCAGAATAGCCTCAGAAACTTGACAAGTTCTGGCCCCTCTCTCAGCACGGTTGCAGCAAATGTATGCTGCTTCTCACCCCTGTGCTCAGCTGTGCCTTGTGCCGTGAATCCCACATCATTTGCTGCAGACTCCGCAGAGCACTCCCTCTGTCACACACACACTGTGAAATCACTCAAAGAAAACAAGTAAGACACAGCAATCACAGTCACTCTTAATGCTAAATAACTCCAACACTGGGTTTAGAAATAAGCTTTTATTAAGTAGATTTGAGTTAGCCACTATTGAATTTGAAGAATGAGTATAGAAACAGAAGTTCCATAATCAGAACTAATTCCATAAAGCTATTCAGTGGTTAACAATTTTTTATTACTTAGTACCCAGAATGCTCACCCTAAAATACATGGTCTTCCTAGTCCCAGTGAGTTTTCAGTTGCTTGATTCTATCTTCTATCAAAAATTCCATTATAAAAAGGCAGTTAGCATGGTGCTGGCCAATTAGAACATCCATGTTAGGCTCTAAAATTTCAGGACAGTTCGAATGCTTGAAATAAAAAAGAAAATAAAAATTACCAAGAAGTCAATTTTCTCCCCATCTCTCCCGTCACTTTCATTGCTGAGACATATTTTAACTTCTACCTTCTGTCTTTTGTAACAAATGAAGTCATGCTTATGCCTATAATGTTTATTAAAAATCTAGGATAATGCTTGTTCTCTTCAGATTTTTGTCTCTCCTCCAGCAAAATAAACTGCAAATGAACTCTTTTTCAAACCTAGGTCTCAGCTTTCAGCAGCTAGCCAAGATTGACCAGGAGCAGTAATATTTACAGGCATTCTCCCTTTTGTCTATTTGGAAAATGTTAGGTAGCTTTGATTATTAGTTTTCAAGCTCATGTATGAATAAAACACTGAAATGATGCTGAAGTTTGTAATTGAGAGAGGGATCAACTGCTGGATGAAATTTGCATAAATGCAGTGATTCCAACTGTAACAAATACAGTCAACTGATTTATCTAAAATAGAATCCATATGAGCTAAAGCAGATAGAGCTAGTACTTTCTCCAGAGTTATATACAATACATAGATATAGACTGAGATCAAATACAAAGACCATGCTGGTTTCTGGAGAGAATGGTCATAAGTAATTCTCTGTCTGCAGAGGAACCTAAATATTACTGAATATGTAATCTTCAGTCTCTTTAAATTCCTTATTATAAGGGAGAATGTTTTAGCAAAGGTGAAAGCCTGAGACTGACCTGTTTCCTTTACCAGCTTTATATCTGTATTTCTCTTTTACACTGTTGCTTGCTTTTACTGTGTGCCTGTTTTGGCACATGCCTGAAAGCTCACAGAAGTGTGTTTCTATCAGAATGAATGCATGTGGTGTGTGTCACCCTTTAGCTTCCCTGTTTAAAACATGTCAGTGAGCAGGGAACCTGTACTTTGACAGTGTCTGATCAAGAAGTGTCTTGTATACCTTTCAGTACTGTGCACATTACCTTTTTCCTGAATGCATCAGCTCAAAAGCCTCATTGATTTTGTCGAAAGGCAGCGTGTGAGTTACAAATTCATCAACCTTGATCTTTTTGGACATGTATTCTGTCACCAGTTTTGGTACATTGTCTACACTCTTCCAGCCTGAAAGAAGGAAAACATGCCTTGTTTTCCTTTCCCACCCATCTCAGAAAATATAAAACACAGCCCTAACACAGAACTTGTATCATCAATATGACAAGGAGCAGAGATGAGTGACATGTTTGTCCCTCCTATGGAGGGCTGGCAAAAGCGCACATCATCCAAACACACACAAGTGTTGATGAAAAATCTT